AAAGAGAGACGGAGAGCACGTCAGTGCAGAGCGCTGTGAGGCGGCGCGGTGTAGATGTGTCATTGTTTGCAGTGACAGACCAGGACTGTGCGCAGACATCAGTGAGCCGGAGCTGAACTACAGCTGTCAAAGAATCCCATCAGACTGTGTGAACTCACAGCTTCAGCCATTCAGATGGGATGGGAGCTTCTAGTATTGAATTTTTATCATTTATTAAAAATTATTTAACTAACATGAAGTATTTTACTGAGACTGGCTAATATAAATGTAATTCTATTCATCAAATGAATAATCACAGTTACTCTTTAACCTCGCTAGCTGTCGTTTGTCTTTGGGTTGGTTGAACAGTATGTTTGTGGTAAAGTGTGTGACTTCAGCTGCGTCCACTCGCTCTGTACTGAGATCAGCTCTCTTCACTCGCAGCACTGAAATCTTCACGCGTGGCTGAGCAGGTTTGACCACAGTAACCTGATGACCTGCTTTCCCTTTTCACGGACTTGAAGGTCCTCTAATATCAAAGCCACATTTCACAAGACTTCCTGAACATTTCTAGGATAATCTGAACTTGATGGCATTGTAAACTACATTCTGCAGTCTAGTACTGTAGTCTATGTATATTTCAATTTATTTGCCTTTGAGTAGCATGACAAGAAAGGTTTCGAATCCATGCTTGCCTGCCTGCATGATCTTAGATCTGGGATCTCTTTAAATTTTAATGAGAACAAGACTGAAGTTATTGTTTTCGGGCCCTCTGTTTCTAAAGGAATTATTAATCTTAACCTTGCTAATTTGGTGCACTGTATTAAACCATCTGTGGACAAACATGGGTCATATTTGGTTCTGCCATTAAGTTTGACAAACAAATATGTTAATCATACATTTTTGTCAAATTGTAAATTGAATCTGCAACTCTTTATACACAGGAATAAGTCCGTTTTTCATTGCACAAATCCAAATGGTCTTGAACACTGCTACTGGACTTTTGACCAGTGTTAACAGTGAACATGTTACACCAACTGGAATCGTAAATTATTGTAAACTTTAAAATATGACCTTTTGTTTTTAAGTCCTTAGATGGTTTGGCACCTTTTGATCTTCCAGACTTACTATCGGTGAATAAGCTGTGCTCTGTCCCAGTCGAGGTTAAAGCTGGCTGTGTTTTTGTGGCTGATCTGCTGCTCATTTCCTTCAAATGTCTGTGCAGTTAAACTGGATGGACTTATTCAAGTACTGTAGATAGATAAAAGAAGAGTCTGCATCTCTGAAACTTTCATTTCATTTGAATCTAGGTTATGTCTGTAATAATCAATGTGAGTGTGTGAGGCGTTCATGCGTTTTGCTTATAGCGTGCATAAAAGGCGCTGTTTGCCTCCTTATATTCCATATTTTTTTAATGGTTTAATGGTTGGTAACTGTAGCACTGGCACACCATGTGACACTAGTAGACTAGTTTATACAACACTTTAAACAATTCTTGTAATCTTCTTAGAAGTCCTTAAAGTCCCCATGAAATCAAAATTGAATTTTTTTGGCTTTTAGTATGAATATGTTAGCCTTATAGTTATCTATAAGCTAGTGTGCTCCAAAACGATGACAAAATTCATAATTAGAAGACATAAGCATTCAAAACTTACATGGTCTCTCACTTCTGGCAATATGAATCAACAGTTTTGATGACGTCATCCTGTACTTCTCATCAAACTTTCTCTCCAATCAAATGCTCTCTAGAATCTGAAATGTCCCGCCCCCTACACTATAAATAGACGCTGGGTTTCGCGTTGTGTTGTGTGTTGTGTTGTGTTGTGTTGTGTTGAGTTGTGTTGTGTTGCGTTGTGTGTTGCGTTTTGTGTTGTGTTGTGTTGTGTGGTGTTGAGTTGTGCTGTGTTGTGTTGTGTGGTGTTGAGTTGTGTTGTGTTGAGTTGCATTGTGTTGCGTTGTGTGTTGCGTTGTGTTGTGTGGTGTTGTGTGGTGTTGTTGTGTGTGGTGTTTGTGTTGTGTTGCGTTGTGTTGTGTTGTGTGGTGTTGTTGTGTGTGGTGTTGTTGTGTTGTGTGTTGTGTTGTGTTGTGTTGTTTTGTGTGTTGTGTTGTGTTGTGTTGTGTTGTGTGTTGTTTTGTGTTGTGTTTTCTGTATGCTGAATGGCGTGTAGTGCACTATATGGGGAATAAGGAACGATTCAGACCATTTGGTCCAAAGAAGTCTGGTTTCGCATTGTGTTGTGTTGTGTGTTGTTTTGTGTTTGTGTTTGTATTGTGTTGTGTTGTGTGGTGTTGTTGTGTTGTGTTGTGTTGTGTTGTGTTGTGTGTTGTGTTGTGTGGTGTTGTTGTGTTGTGTTGTGTGTTGTTTTGTGTTTGTGTTGTGTTTGTTTTGTGTTGTTTTGTGTGTTGTGTGTGTTGTGTTGTGTGTTCGGTGTTGTGTTTGTGTTGTGTTGTGTTGCGTTGTGTGTTGAGTGTTGCGTTGTGTTGTGTGTTGCGTTGTGTGTTGCATTGTGTTGTGTTGTGTTGCATTGTGTTGCGTTGTGTTGAGTTCGCGAACCGTCACAGCGCACACAGTCTGCTCCGGTCCAGAGACACAATATCACGGAGCGGATCATACGCGAGTCGTGCAGACCACAAAACGTATCGGACCCATTAGAATTCTACACAGAATGCTTTATATTATAGCGATTTGGGACAGATTAGGAGGAGAAACGGTCAGATAACGGCACTAACGAGTAGAAGTGATAACACCGGTGCCCTGCACCATCATAAATTACACAATTTTCAAACTACACATCCTCAGCATCATTATAATCACTGTTTTGCTTTAGTAACAGTTTCATATTGAATCTAAAGGGCTAATCTATCAGACGGTCACTGTCATAAGCTGTCAAATGCAGCTATACCGAGCTCAAAGGCTCTGGCCCAAGCTGTGAAATAAACAAAGCGCTATTGGCTATTTAAAAAGGGGACGGGGCTGCTCAATATGTCCCGCCCCGTCTTCCTGTTTCAGTTGAAATTACGTCAGCACATAGCATAACGCTGCGTGTTTCAAGGCACTTCAGTGGACCTACACAGAAGTAAGCCCTGTCTAGGCTCTGCCCTGGTACGGGTTATTCGTTAGCCATTCGTTAGTCTGAAATAGTGATGATGAACTCATTTACTCCTTCACATTTTCAGACCTGCTGTGTGACGTTCGGTGTAAATGAAACCAAAGGCCATTGCTTCTCACTTGTCTTATAACTGAATGCTCTTGACCGTGCATATGTAAATGCAGATTTCAGTGACTGAATCAATCAAATACCCCTAGCTGGATCCAACCATTTATTTTTAATTTAATACTTTTATCCACAAATTAAACTTAATACTATAAATTATGATTAATGTGGCACTAGATGGACTGTTTAGAAACTTTCCTCCCACCTATGCTGGGGTGCGTTTCCCAAAAGCATTGTTAGCTAACTATGGTGGTTGGTTCCATTGAAATCTATTGGTAACGACGGAACTTGTGACCATAGTTGCTTTTGGGAAACACCCCTCATTAGATGCCTAATATTACTTCTAAGGTAATTTACCATCAAGTCAGATTTTTTTATTGGCACAATTATTAAGAAAATAAATCTAAAAAACAAATGTTGTAGTTTATAGCGTGTGTATACTTTGTGTGTGGCAAAAAGTGTATAGTACATAAATGTTACAATATAAACTGCATTTTTTGTCAAATAAGATGCTGCAGAACAGTATTATATAACTGTATACATTTATGAAAAATACCTTGGTTGTATGATATTCCTTTAAATTATTATTATTATTATTATTAATACTTGAGAATTACATTTTAGTATACAACAGTAATATATTCCTGTCATAATTTCTTCAAGTTAAATCTGACTTTTATTTTGACGGGTTGTCGTGAAGGTCTTTTAGTTTTACTTTCAGTCTCAGTGTGTGTCTGACGGTGGTTTTTCTCAGAGTAAACGCTGTAAAGCTGCTGAAGTGACTCTCAGAGCAGCTCTGGAGATGTAGTTCATGTCCTCATATATTGAGACGCATGCTGAAATCACCGCCAGCGCCGCGTGTGTTTGAGTTTGTGTATCAGATGAAACCGTGCCGTTCATTCACACAGAGACTCTCACAACATGCAGAGTTAGCCTGTTAGTGACAAACACCGCCTGGCTGTTGTCACATTTATTTCTGCTGTTAGATTAATCCATATTGAGTAAAAATGTCCAGAGCTTTTTCATTGTTATCGATATAAATTTTAGCGTGACTCAATATGAAATTGTTTTATCGCTCAGTCCTAAGAAATTAGATTCTTACGTTTCACAATGCCACCTGAACGTCTTCGGTGATTGTCACGCAGGTGGGGGTCAGCAGCTTACATACACGCTGTACACGGTACTTACGTACCTTACACGGTGTAGGGAAAATGTGATTGGTACAGACTGGTCCAATCAAGAGGTTGCAGCAGGTCTTCAGTACCTGTGATCGACTTAATGCGGTGCTGCTCAGACCGAACGGTGTATGACATCCAAAAACACAAAGATTCGGTCTGCGCAGCACTTGGGCGTATTTATTGTTTGCACCTGACTCGGAATTTGAAGCTCATTATTGACATTCTCAGAAATCAGCAGCTTGCGAGGGGCTCACAAACAAAATCCCATCATGCACTGTAAGGCTGAAAGCACTGCTTTGATCTGCAGAGGCCTACGAACTGAGCAGGTCCCCCAACATCAGAACAGTCATTAATTCCTCATAATGCACCATAACATTAATGGAGATGACGGCCGTGTGCTCGTAGCAGTGGCTCTGTGGCTGTTCTTACTCTAGATCTGGTGAAGAGGTAAATGCAGTTGTCTCCGGGCTCTGGTTCAGCGCTTTGGGCTGGACTCGTGTCGTGTGATGGGCTCCGTGTCGATCCGCTGCGGTGGAGGCGGCTGCTGATTGGTGCCCTGGGGCAGCGGGCAGCTCGATGCAGTGAAGGGCGCCGCGTCCCTGGACGTCGTGCTATAAAAGCCGGAGCTGTTGAGTCGGCTGCTGGGTCTTGAGCGGGGAAAGGGAATGAGGAGCTGGCTTCGACAAGGCAAGAAGTTTAGATTGTTTCATCCTCCTAGAGGCGTTTCAGGTGAGAATCTGCTTGCATGCTGAGATGAATGGGGAATATGTGTGCCAGAGATTACTGTTCCTCATTCGTATTATTTTATTTATGATATATATGTTTTATTAGGCCTAGCTTCCACAAGACCAAACAGAGAACAGATTAATTGTGTGAGGATGCTGCTGATGTATATGCTCCTGGTAGATATATCAGTGGGCAAAACTACTTTGTTATTCTGAAAATAGAGAGCAAGACGCGTCCTAAAGAAGCTTTTTATTAGGTGGCATTTATTAGGCATAACACGCAGAAGAGTTTAGTTGTTTACGGTTGATGAGCAACATCACAACTTCCTTAATACAGAATTTAGCTGATGTGCTCACGGTGTGTGTGTGTGTATCTCCTATTTCACAACCAAGTAAACCAACTGGTTTCTGCTCATCAAGTTACAAATAAAAAGACCAACAAAAAAAAAAAGAAGTACCTTTCATTTGTAATGTAATTTATGAATGCATTTTTTTAAATTAACAATATAAAAATAACTATGTTGTGATGTATTGTGGTACATGATGTAAAATGCTGTGATATGAGCTGTTGGTCAGACCGCTCAGACGGACCTTCAGCACATCCATAACATCTCAATAATATGTCCAATTAGATGAGCTGGAATAATGCTTTACTATGAGAACTTTCATTATATTACAGCAAACGTCAGCATCTGGCACTCCACTGGCTGCTCTGGAGGCTGTATTGAGCAGTGAGCACAAATAGGCCAGTAAAGCCCATGGCGATGGATATCGAACATTGATCTCTGCAGCACACATGGGGTGTAAAGCGGGTCACCGTCACCTAATCGCTGGAACTCTTAATTAGTGCTGCTGGTCAAGTCAAGCGTCACTGTTGATATTGTTTTAGCATTATAATTAAGAGTCACTAGATGTACTGTATTAATGGTAACTTATGACCTTTTCTATCCAGCCCACTGGGTTTATGATCTCTAGTCCCGCTTCTTTAATTAGAAGATTAAAGTAACCAGACTGTGGTGATCAATCTCATTAACAAAAATGTTTTACCAATACTCATTTTGAATGTTATGTCGCACAGCCATCACTAAACACAGGGCCTGCAACAACATTTTCATATTTAGGACCCTTTTTTTGTGTAAGAAGTGTAAAAATCTAGTTTCTTTTTGCTGTAAATAAAGCTGTGGTGGCGATGTGTGCTCTAAACACTGACACTGGGCGAGTGGTTCATGCTAGCATGTTTAGTCCGTACAGCATATTGAAATATCTCTAGTGTTCTTCTATAGCTGATGTTGGATCCGGCATCTTCTGCTTTTATGTCCATTGGCTGCATCAAGACCTCTTGCTTTAATTCATTGCGTTTATTTAATCATTTCATCTTTTTCTTTTTCTCTCATCCTCTCGCCATCCTTCCCAACAAACATTAACCCCACCCTTAAACACTGCCCCTTGAAACGCTCCGTTCCCACCCGTGCACCTCCTCTCTTGTGGTTGGAGATGGCAGAGTGTACAGTAGCCATGGAGGACAGTGAGCGTGAAGCCGACTCGGCGTCAGATGAGCAGGACTCTATGCCAGCGTCGCCTGAGCCCAGGGCGCATGAAGTGGAAAAGGTACTGATGCTCCCTGTGCTCGGTCCGCTTGACCTCTGACCTCTGATGCTGCCCCACTGACTGCCCTTAGATGTGGAACCTAGCATGCTTTCTTTGTTAATTTGTTAAAGTCAAATCACAATTGACCTTGTGTACTTTCATATCGTGAGCAATTTCTCAGTGCACATTATTCTTGAGAAAAAAAGGGTTGTCTTCAAAATCTTCATCAAAATGTAAGAACTGAATCAGTCATAAATCAAATAGCTATTAACATTAATGTAATAGCAAATAATGCTTTATGTATCCCAAGGTAACCAGTGAGATACATGGAGATGCTTCGAACCTTCAGCCTCCATGTTCCCATTAAAAAAGGCTCCTCAAAGTGTGTTTCAGGAGAGCAATAATCCCCCACAATCCACTGCAAACTCACACTCTGAAACACACCATCACATTAACTCTTCAAGCTCTGTCTCACATTGTTTTCTTTTTAAATATCTTCTTGCTTTCAGAAATGTGTTTCATTACATAAGTCAAATGGGTTGCAAAAGCCATTTCATGTTGACTTTAAAATGTTCTTTATCATCTAATTTCATTTAAGATGTGGCCTTGAACCAACTGTTCAATGGCACTGATCAGTTTGACAGAACGGAAAACACAGATAAATTCAGTGAGAACTGGACTGGCCAGTCTTTGGCTCGAGACACTGGGAGCTCTACAGAGGACAAGCACTTTGGAGAAAGGATGGATGGGAACAGCAGGCAGGACTCCGTTCAGTGTTTGCTTCTTCCAGGTTGTGGCAACAGATTGACCATATGACGCTTTTCCAGGGTCAGGTCCGTGTCTGCACCTCAAACATGAATTCACTGCACCGCAATGCATTATTTATCCAGACAGGTTTAGAGCGGTGGAAACCCCAGTGCTGTACAAGAGAGTGTCAGATTGCCCGACTATCACACGCACCCTTTAGTGCTGTTCTCTGGGACACAGGGGCTGCTTATGCTGTTTAATACATGCATCCTTTCATGGCCTTCTCTGAACAGAAGCCATTGGAAGAGTTTAATGACAACAGTGCAGTTAAATATGGTTGTCACTCCTCTTTTGAGCATTTAATAGAGTTCTGTACACGTCCAGCACACGTGTGCTGTGGATAGACTCTCATCTGTGAGTGTGACGGTCCTCTCGGGGTGTGTGGAGCTGGAATCGCCACCGCATCTAGAGCATGGATCCCGTCATTATTATCAATACAGTAATCAGTGCCATCTGTGTTGTGTCTGATGTCACTCATCCCGTGTGGTCACTAACAGCAGTGATGTAGATGTGTGCTTCCTCAGGAACACTCCTTTTACTACTAATGTGCTTTTCTTGGACTCATAAAGCCTTGTCAAACTTTTACCATGGTAACCTTAATGTCTGGCAAAATGTTTCACTGGGCTACTACTCTAGTAAACAGGTATTTACCATTGTAATCTTTTGTAAGGCATGCACAGTGTTTTGTATCTAACCACTAAATGGTCTATACTCCTTTTGCTTCTCTTCTCCATGACCTTAATTTTCCATATTAAACCACTTTCACACCTGCCCGTGTGTTCTGGCCCCACCCCAAACTTGTCCTAACCCTCCTGACCTCAGCACTTCCCTAAGAAAGACTCGGAGGACTCGGAGCTGGAGCACATCATGGGACATCACCCGCCCAGAGAGGGCCACCCGTTCGCCCACCACGGGCCCCATAGGACCGATAGTGAGGGCGAGCGTCACAGCAGACCCCACACCCCAGGAACACCCACCTTCCTGAGGCCCGCGGCGGCACCCAGGGGCCCTGGAGAGATAGAGCACGAGTCCAGACACGGGGCTCCGCGGGGCCACTTTAGCCTGCCGTCTCCCATCAGCCCATCCAGGCCTAAGAGCCCCTGGGGCCGCTACGACCCCTATGACTCTGCTGAGGTAAAGCATGCTGGGATAGCGAGGGTTTGATTTCCATCAGGAGAGTCTGTGTGCAAACAGCCCAAAATATCACTCCGAACAACTATGAGAATGACTAACCAAAACGTACTATAGTACCATGTTGGAATGAACCACGGTATTCTTTGAAGACCCTTGGAATACCAGGTGTCATACTTTGGTAACTTTCTAGCAGCACCATTAATGGTAATCCTTCAGTACTACGGTACATATCAAAATACTGTGATATCACCATCCAGTACCATCACTATATCCCACTGCTGACACAGGACTGTTTCTGAGGGATCTCAGTAGCACCCATGGGTGTCTAAGAACGCTTAAAGTAGTAAAACAATCGTACACACACCTTTGTGAGGTGCAAGTTAAAGGAACAGACTAAATGAAGAAAACGTGTAACTGCACACTGTAACGGATTCCTTACAAAATGGAGAACAACAGAATGATGATGTGCACAGGTGAGAGTAATGACATCTGGGTCACCATCCAATAATTAACTAATGAAGTATTGTAAATTCTTACATTCTTAAATTATTCATCCTAAATTCTTGTCTCAAAAAAAAAAAAATGTATATATATATATATATATAATCGCATAAGGGTGCGATTATCACCCTTATTTCTGTTGTTCTCTGTTTTGTACGGAATCATACAAAGGCTTCTTGTTTGGCCGAAATGTTGGTAAGAAATAAACAGTGCTTAAGGGAGCATGCAGTTAAATTTTTTCATTTTGTCTAAGAATGGTTACCTTTTGTTGTTTTTATGTTCTGAATCAGAACCATATTTTTGTTCTTGAGCTTGTTTCATGTGTCACTTCCTTTTTGATATTTTTGTTCTTGAGCTTGTTTCATGTGTCACTTCCTTTTTGGGAGGATGGATTTACATTTGACTGAGGCTGTTTTTTTTTTAACTGGATCCTGTTGGTGGTCTGTAGCCTGTTTGTAAAAGATGATAATTAAAGGCGTAAAGCTCTTCTTGGGTTTCTGACCCTCCACCCACAGCTTCCTTTCTTCAAGCCTGGCTCATCTGGTTTGGCTCCCAGAGAGTGTCAGCTCCTGCTCAGTGCTGCATGCAAGGGTTAGACTATTTTTTTAAGACTGGCCATCATTTTTTTTTTTTTTTTGGTTACATAAAAACTTTGATTAGTCTAAGTTAAATGAAAAAAAAGACTGATTTGGTTGACTGCTAGTTGGTCAGACTAGTTCTTAAGTCACTGTCTTAACATAGAGGCTAAGTTTATGCAACTGGCCCAGGATAATAAGAGATATGCCTACAAAATGAAGATTGACGTTTCACTATTTCGAATCAGTATTGAGAAAATATTGTTTCATTAGGCTATTGCTTCTTGGGTCATCTCTCTATCAACTACATTTGCAGGAGTAGTTTATCCAATACATACTATATATGTATATAGTCTGTTCATATTAAGAAATCCCTACATATATATGCATTATTAATGTGATCGAACAGTTATGTTTTTTTTTTATTAATATCATTGTATTTTTCTGATTTTACAATGTTAAAAATGCATTTTTTTACATTTCTTTTCAAATATGTGTTCAGTGATCTTTTTAATATCTTTGACTTTTTTGTATGCTCTCTCTCTTCTGTTATTTCTTGCTAGGACCAGGACAAGGAGTATGTGGGATTTGCGACTTTGCCAAATCAGGTTCACCGCAAATCTGTGAAGAAGGGCTTTGACTTCACTTTAATGGTAGCAGGTAATTAACCTAATGGTAGCAGGTAATTTAAGATCAACTGAACTTCAAAACAAACAATGTGAATAGTGTGTGTTCTCCTTTTCTGCATAATAAAGCTATAGTTCGGCCAAAAATCATTTAGTGAAACGCCATTTTCCAAACTGTTCACGCTACTCCGTTCCACTTGCTGAAAGTGAATGAGGATTGAGGCAGTCGAGCTCTGAAAACATGACATGACAGTCGTCCATATGACCAAGCACTCGTCTGGAGTCACAGCTGAACTCAAAGCTGTTATTATCTCAAACCTTCGCGTTCGTTCAGATACGACGTCAGAGACACGATGGTACTGTATTACTGATGTCCAGTCTGCTGTGAGGAGTGATGAGAGAATATTCGTTTTTATGTGAGCTGTTGCTTTAATATCACTGTTGTTGATGATGATGATGATGGGGGTTTTATTCCTCACAGGAGAGTCAGGTTTGGGAAAGTCCACCCTGGTCAACAGTCTGTTCCTGACAGATCTCTACAAAGACAGAAAGCTGCTGAATGCTGAAGGTGACTGTTGTCTGCTCGAACACTGTGTGTGCTGTGAATATTCACTTTACGGTCCTGACGGCTGTGTTGTGTTGGCAGAGAGGATCACGCAGACGGTGGAGATCACCAAACACACGGTGGACATCGAGGAGAAGGGTGTCAAACTGAAGCTCACTATCGTGGACACACCAGGATTCGGGGACGCTGTCAATAACACTGAATGGTACATTAGCGTTTCTGATTCTGCATAAAATGACGATCCCAATTAGATCCTCACTGTAAGACAGAGATTTATGCATTAATTAAAGGCACTACAGCAAATACTACCATGAATTATAAAATATTTCACAGCTGATGTAATATCGTTTTTGATCTGTGCGTTTGTGTTTTCAGCTGGAAGTCGGTGGCAGACTACATCGACCAGCAGTTTGAGCAGTACTTCAGAGACGAGAGCGGACTGAACCGCAAGAACATCCAGGATAACCGCGTGCACTGCTGCCTCTACTTCATCTCACCCTTCGGTCACGGGTACGAGCGCCAGCAGATCTGATCAGAGGGATTTGGCTTCATTGTGCTGGTGTGGTGCAGTGGTTAAAGCTCAGGGCTGGTGTTCGAACCCCATGAGAGCTGTTCTGTCAGATACTGCCAATTTGTCCTTGATGAAATCACTAATGCTCAGCTCACTCCAGAGGGCGTATGTGCATATATTAAACGTTTTTTAATATCAATAGTGTGTGTGCACTTGGATGGGATAAACGCAGAGCACAATTTCCGAGTATGGGTTACCATTCTTGGCCACACGTCACATCACTTTCATATCCCATATATGTGACCCTGGAGCACAAAACCAGTCATAAGGGTCAATTTTTCAAATTGAGATTTATGCATCATCTGAAAGCTGAATAAATAAGCTTTCCATTGATGTATGGTTTGTTAGGATAGGACAATATTTGAAAATCTGGAATTACGGTAGGAAATTTACTAAATATCTTCACAGAACATGATCTTTACTTAATATCCTAATGATTTTTGGCATAAATGAAAAATCTATAATTTTGACCCATACAATGTATTGTTGGCTATTGCTACAAATATACCCCAGCGACTTACTGCTTTGTGCTGCAGGCTCACAATTTTGCTCCACGTGTTTGTTCCCTCAATGGCTTTTACATGTTCTTTGTACTTGGAGAGCAAGATCGAGCGCTTGATGTGTGTCTGAAATATTACTTCCAGACCCTACAACTCATACAGAGTCACAACTATGAGTTTTTATCGGACAAAGAAAGGAAAAACAGTCCATCTCTTATTCCAGTCATAGGGCACAGTAATGATCTGTCTCAGTGTATCTGTGCCCTCTGCTGGTCATGTGTGGTCACTGCGGTCTGATGAGTGACGGGAAGGCAAGCCAAGCCACGTTTTTATTTATTTTATTTTTTTTGTCAACTTCAAAGCTCTGTTGAGAATTCTTGTGGATTCAAACTAAAAGTTTTAAACTTTAGGACTGGATTTTTCCTGCCATCATTCATTGTCTAGTTTGCTCTGTTGTGAGAGTGGTTAATGTGTGTTGGTGTGTCAGGTTACGGCCTCTGGATGTGGAGTTTATGAAGGCTCTTCATGAGAAGGTCAACATTGTTCCTGTACTAGCTAAAGCTGACACGCTCACCCCAGCGGAGGTCAAGAAGAAGAAAATCAAGGCAAGTGCTCAAGCTGTCCAGATCTGTCACGTGTGTGTACAGATGTCCCGTGAACTGACTTCAGTGTCAAACCCTTCAGATCCGAGAGGAGATCGAGCAGTTCGGGATAAAGATCTACCAGTTTCCAGACTGTGATTCAGACGAGGATGAGGACTTCAAACAGCAAGACCAAGAGCTCAAGGTCAGAAAAGACATCCAACTGTCCAAAAATCCAAAACTTTTCATATTTGTTTTCAGTATTTTTCAGGTATTTGTTTTCTTATATGTGACCCTGGCCAACAATACATTGTATGGGTCAAAATTATCAATTTTTCTTTTATGCCAAAAATCATTAGGATATTAAGTAAAGATCATGTTCCATGAAGATATTTTGTAAATTTTGTACCGTAAATATATCAAAAATATATTATCATTAGTAATATGCATTGCTAAGAACTTCATGTGAACAACTTTAAAGATGATTTTCAATATATATTATTTTTTTTTGCACCCTCAGATTCCAGATTTTCAAATAGTTGTATCTCAGCCAAATATTGTCCTATCCTAACAAACCATACATCAATGGAAGCTTATTTATTCAGCTTTCAGAAGAAGTATAAATAAAACTGACCTTTATGACTGGTTAGGTGGTACAAGCCAGAGTCACATATACCAACACAAATATTTTCACATATCAAATGTGTAACTAAGCAGACAATAAAATGAGATGATATATGTGTAAACCCAAGCATTAACTCTTGAAAAAATTAATTCTTGAGAAATTGAAATTGTGTTTCAATAAAGCTATTGCACATAAAAATGTAGTGCAAGTTTTCTCTTCATTGCTTTCTCTGTTTTTTTTATCAGTATATAGCCATACATGGTCCATGAATACTGTATATTGCAGTATATTGAAAAAATATAAGCACTAGTTTCCCATATATGGAAATGCATTATTCAATAATGGCATCAATATTTTTGTTTCGTAAGGGCTATTTGTGAAAGTGGCACCTGTGAAGTGTGATTTGTGTTGAGATGATTGGTCTGACGGTTCTCCTGTAGGACAGCATTCCCTTCGCTGTGATCGGCAGTAACACAGTAGTGGAAGCTAAAGGCAAGAGGGTTCGAGGACGGCTGTACCCCTGGGGAATAGTAGAAGGTATGACCCTGACAACAAACACGCCTCAGAAACAACCAGTCAAACATACAGTGACTGCCTTTACATTGAATTCTTTACATTTACAAGACCAAATGAAGATATTCATCATATTTCATGATCATTAGCAGACTGGATATGTACTGTGCGTGTGTGTTTGTTGGACAGTGGAGAACCCAGCGCACTGTGACTTCGTGAAGCTGAGGAACATGTTGGTCCGATCACACATGCAGGATCTGAAGGACGTGACCCGGGAAACACACTACGAGAACTACAGAGCGCACTGCATCCAGAGCATGACCCGCATGGTGGTGAAAGAGCGCAACCGCAAGTACGCACTCGTCCTCCAGCCAGCAGACCGCGCTTGCACACTTCATCACGCTCACTTTAATGTTCGGTTTGATGAGCCAAACCACGTCACTTTCTTTCCACTGCACAGATTTACCTGCAAACTGCAGAGCACAACTAAATATTATGCCACTAAAACACATTAGGAACTGAATATATATTCACAAACAATAAATTGAATATCAGCAGATTACTTTTCATATTATGTTCATTTTATGCTGGATAATAGTTCATCTATCAGTTCTAGCTCTAATGAACTTTTCTGTTGTATGGCTTATGAAGCATCAATATGCACCTTGTTTTTGTACAATGCTTTTGGCGCTGCAGTTTGCGACAGCAGTTCTCATGCCGGTGAAACTGACCGTTCGTGCATGCATGTGCTGTTTTGCTCCGAGCAGCAAACTGACCAGGGAGAGCGGCACCGACTTCCCCATTCCCATGGTGCCCGGCGTCACCGACACCGAGACGGAGAAGCTGATCCGCGAGAAAGACGAGGAGGTACGGCATTCTCCCAGCCGAGAGCCACACGAGCAAACGCAGCATCACGAGCAGCATTCGGAGCCAGAGCCGCGAGTGGATCCTCACTCAGATCCCCCACCCAGCGCCGACCCTCACTCCAAAGGGTCCTAGCTGCGGCTCATAGGGTTCATATAGTCCCTCAGATCAACCCTCCACCCGCTGTCCAGATCACTGTTAGATGGGTCACTGGCGCCCCCTGTAGGTGCATACGGCGCTATCAGGCAGTAGAGTAGAGCACATGCTGTGTGTGTAAGTGTGTAATCTGTGTTTATTAGAGTTTCCAAAGCCTGCACATCTCTGGCATGATGCACTTTAACCCTGCATCCCAGACTGGGTGAATACGACTAAGAAATCTCCAGCACACACATATATGATTTTAATGACAATTAAAGGCACAATATGTAAGATTTTTTTATTAAAATATCCAAAAACCACTAGAACAGTGTTATGTATTTTGCTGACTTGTGTACTTACATTATCCCAAATGTTTCGAAGAATGTTTAAATCCAGAGAAATAAGCAATTTTAACTAGTTACACGGAGCGTGTCCATAGTGTCATTGTGTCGCCTGCCAGCGTCGTCATAACCCCTCGATTTCCAGTTTTGTTTTGTAGAAAACATGGAAACACCAAAAACGCTTTAATATGTTGTGCGTTTTAATAGACAGGTGACGACCGCACAGAGTAGCATTATAACAGAACTTTCAAACTGATCTAGTATGATAAAACAGCACTGCTTTACCCCACAGATGTTGAACCAAAGTGCTGTACAATCAAGAAAAATGCACACACACAAAAAAAATTAAGCAGAATTAGAGAGGATTTACAAGAATATAAATTAAAACATTGAAAAAAAATAAAACCCTTGAACATCTCACAGCATGGAAGGCTTTGTACTTATTTAAAAAATGGAGCATTTACTTAGTCATGGTATTGTGTATATATTTTGAAAGATTAGTAGATTAAAGTTGTTTTAAAATTCTGATGCAGTTACTGTAGAATGAAGAAAATACATGAAGGCTTTGCTTTTAAGTCGTTATCTGTTATGGATTTCTTGCTCTGGAATCAGTCTGTGATTAAAGTCTTCTAAACACCGGTGATTGATGATTTGATATGCATTCATACGCAACCATTGTGGACATTTTGATGCATTGTTCAAAGGTTTATTCTGGTAGCTTATTCTACAGCATCGTTGAGTTCCTGAACCATAATGCTGTATCAGCTCAAGGAAGCAGTTCTACACAAAACAGAACATGATAGAGATGGAAAGCCGATAAATGTCTTGAGATGAAGACATGTGCAGGTGATAACTGTGGCATGAGTGGAAATACTGGCTGACAGTGAATGCATGCAGCAGCTGAGGACGGGATTCAGTCACCAGCTCCATACTCTGTAGCTTTTACATCAGTACTAGACAGGAAAGTTCAGCTGTTGGAAATGTTGACATTCATGTTCAATCTAACACAAAGGAAATACATATTTAGCGCATCACTGACATGGATCCGTGCACGGTTGCGTTCGTGTTGATGTGCTGTACAGATCGTAGCCTACATGTGGTACATTACACAACAGCGCCATAGATTTCCAGCATCCACTGATCATGTAGACGTGTCCGTGTCACTGAGCTCTAGTGCTGGAGGCATTGATTATTAGCTCACATGACTGTGATTGGCTAAGCTGGAGATTCCTGATGGATGTTTCTCTGGAGCTTGGCTTCTGTCATGTGACTCACAGACTTCCCGGCTGGTCAGTATTGATGGATCAGTTTTGGTGCTGTGCGTTTGACTGTGGTTCTGTTCTTGTTGCAGTTGAGGCGGATGCAGGAGATGCTCCAGAAGATCCAGGAGCAGATGCACACGCAGAGAGAGGCGTATTAACATGCGTACGCTGATCTGAAGCACCTTCACTGGAACACCTGAGAAATACCATGGTATCACCTGAGTGAGTGTGCCGTCTCTGGCAGAACAGATCAAACCAGGCCTCACGTCCCACTGAAACATGTCTGGGGCACATTTCAGCCCAGAATGGCAAAAACATCATAACCCCCGTCCAAAAATAAAACAAAACATGAACTGTTTTTGCATTGTGACATTATTTTCTTTATAATGAAGAACATTTGAATCCCAAATTATAATAAGGTAACATAAAAAAAAAATACTGAAAGTCACTGCAGTGCAAACAGACATGTTACTTTTAAATGATTTAATTTGTATTTATTTATTTATTTTTGATTATTTTAATTGTTATTATTGGTAATGGGGATTCTCTTACTGTAACATGGGGTTACAGTGTATTAAAATGTTTATTCTGTTTCAAATATATGTATTGGGTTTAACAATATAAATTACTGTTTATATATATATATAATTTTGGGTTGAAATTTAACCCAGGCATGTTGATATGAATCAATGGAACATTTTCAATGCACAAAACATTCTTTAAAGTGGAAAAAGGTTCTTTAGATTATTAAACTACACATTTGCAATTTGTTTTTAAAGAACTGATCACTGAAAGGTTCTTCGAGGACCCCAGAATGGTTATTCAGTGGCATCAGGGCAAAAACAGTGGTTTGGAAGCTTTCTTCTGTTCTGTCTGTTGTTTGGAGGGCATTCTGACTGACGAGCTATTAATGAGATATATCTCCATGTCCTTGTGTAAAGTCGGCTCCGGGGCCGGTGAAGACCGCAGCTCTGCTCGTTGTCCAGTATGTGTTTCTACCCCAGGATTGTTTTAGAATTGCTTGATATCATAGGATAGATACAATGGAATTATTATTATTATAATTTTTTTTTTTTTACAATGTGTAACTTTATTTTGTACGTATATTAATTGCATTGGTTGTAATGTATGTCTTTGGTTTTGTTTGTATTTCTATACAAAACTGCAAAAGCTTCTTTTAGAAAGTTTTTAAATGAAAAAAAAAACTTATTTTCTTATTGGAGAAATAAAGTACTGTATTTTTGTTAACACCGCTAACACATGTACAATATCTGCTCTGGATAAGATGCTCCAGTCTTGAACAAGTGCATGTTTGCAGAGAAGCGTGTGATTCTGTTTGTGCTGCGATGTTCAGTCTCTGTGATCTAGACATGGACTTACAGTCCACAGAAATAAAACTGATATGTCTTCCACATGGTATATATTTTCTTGGGTAATATTGGTGAAATGGAGAATATTATCAAACAGCTGTAAGTTCTGAAAACTGTGGTGTCAGCGGCGAGTGAATAAACCCATTCACTATGGACTATATTGTTCTGTTGTTGTTATTGTACTCATTTCAGTCATTTTTAAAAGGATATTTCATAAAACTGTTATACTGAGTAGACTCTAGCTGTAAGGATAATATTTATATTCATTTCAAATAATGAAACTGTATTAGAGCTTTGAAACTAATACATTACTTTTTTCAAAGATTGATAAAGATGGAATAACTAGAGCTATTTGAAGTAATAAATATATACTGTTTGTCCATCACTTTTTAACATATTTCTATGTGTATTTATTCATGCATATGTGTGTATGTATTTTCATAGAGTTGCTCAGAAAGTGTATGGACGCTTCTTGTTTATGTTCAACAACGACGTCACAAGCATGCTTAAAAAGCAAACCGTCTCCCGCTGGTTTGAGACTGTGAGCGTCCACATCGTCTCATGCCGGCTGGAGTCTGCTGTCTGTTGTGTGCCGCGGGTCGGCAGTAAAGAGCTCAGCACAGTTACACTGAATTATTTGTATTTTATTGATATTAACTCGGCTGCAGAGCTTTGAGATTTGCTGGACGTGCGGACAAACAGCGAACCTTCTTTATCAGCGCAGGTGGGCGTCTGTTTGTGAAAGCAAATGTAACCCCAGTGAGCCTTGAACACATGATCCTCACAATCAATGCATCCGTTTGGACAGAGAAGGACACTTGAAATTGTGATTTCGCTTTAATTTCATTTAATTCATTCAAACTTGCAGTTGCATCTGTATGCAACCAGGCAGCAAATCATGTTAATGATGGCTTGTATTCCTGCAGCAAGTTGACTGAGCATTTATTGTGACGATTTAACACGTTCTCACAGCACAAAACTGCTCTGCCTTCACTCTTTACACTGGCCTTTCACCTCAGCGCTGCGGTTTCACCATGAGTTCAGACTGCTGCTGCTGGGGGCGGATGAGGTGAAAGAGCAGTGTTTTGTAATGATTGTAATTTGACCCTTTATTAGCAAAACAATGGCACTATTCCCCCAGTTCTACTGTGTTTAGTGAGCCTATAAAAGAGCAGTGCAATAATGAGCGTTTCAGATGAGTGAGAGCAACCATTACAGAGAAGAGCATCGTTCACTCAGTTCATGTTTCTCCTGATCTTAAATGCTTGAAATGAGAATTCATAGACAAACACATAAAAAAAATGTCTTTATAAAAAAGGACATTATTATTCATTTGTTTATTTTATTGTAATTGAAATGGGTCATATAATTGTTTATTCGGTGAACACAGACTGCAGCTCCTGCTCCAGAGAAGAAGCTGCGTCACTCTTTTAATAACATCATTCCCATGTGTTTCACGCTCTTCCTAGTGTTGATCACACCATAAACTGAGGGAAATAGTCATAATAAAGAACGAGTCGCTTTTTTCACACTTTGACATCAAAATGTGACCTTTAACCCACATAGCAACTTCTGCGTGCGATAAAACGACATAAACTGCAACCCAGAGCAAAAATGCTACATAATCACATCACTGACCGACTGGCTCAAATTTAGCCATTTTATATTGAATATGTTTGCGATGTTACTTATAGAAAACTAAATGTGGAATGTGGAAAGCTGATGCAAGATGAACTTGTATATTTTAGCTTTTAAAAATGTACTGTCAGGTGACAAATAATTAAACCACGTGTCCTGTGCCTGTGAAAGAGCTGGACAGATCCGTACAGACGGCGTCTGATGTGAAGGCAGTGAGCTGCAGGAATATTCTGGAGAAAGAAAACACATTTCTTCTTCAACCGTAGTGAAATGCACCCTAAAACAGAAGGATTTACTTCTTACTGTGAGATCTTTGGATCTGTGATGCAGCTCTAATTTGATCCAGTCACTAAAGTCAGGCAGCAGCTTTAGGAAGGAAACTTTAACAGTCACTCAACACACCCTAAACTCAGACGAGAGATGCATGACACAGAGAAGAAGCGTTAGATGAGAGAAGTGAAGAAACACGCTTGCATCTTCATCGTTCAGTGCTTGCTCTCCACAGCTCAGATCCCCGTCACACTGACAAACAACACAGACATCTCATTTGTGCTTTACTTCCAGTGACAAAAATCCTACAACTAAATAAATATAAAATAAGATCAAATCGATCAAATGAAAACAAGAAGACAAATGTAAAGCCTAGAGCTTCACTAATAATAATGA